GAAGAGCGTGTTTGATATGATCGAACAGCTCAAGACCATGTTTCAGGAGCTAGCGCGTACTGTCAACACCCACGTCCTCAACATGCGAGCTCATGTTGAGGAACTTGAGCGTATGGGAGTGAACTTCGATGGTGACTTGGTTGCAGACTTGATCCTGACACTACAAAAAAACAGTCATTTAGCAACGAAAATTTTTCGTTGCAAACCTACAAATTTCGTTGTAAAACATGTTTGCAACGAAATTGCAACGAAAAACTTTTCGTTGCTAACTCGTCGTTGCAAACCAATATAGCATTTCAATTCGTTGCAAATTGCAACGCTTTGCAACGAAATATTTTCGTTCTATTTGCAACGCAATTATTTCGTTGCAAAAGCGTTGCAACGCTTTTGCAACTAAAAAATGAGTTGCTAATTTTGAAATTATTGCGTTGCAAAGCGTTGCTAATTGCAATAAAAAATTTTGCAATGATTTTTGCAACGATTTTGCAACGAAAAATTGCGTTGCAAATTTGCAACGAAATTTTTCGTTGCTAAAGCGTTGCAAAATCGTTTTCATTAAAAAACGTTGCAATTTCGTTGCTAATTTCGTTGCTAATGACATGTTTTTTTGTAGTGTGATGTCATTACCCGAGGACTATAACTAGTTCGTGATGCAGTACCATATGCACGGGATGACTAAGAGCTTAGTCGAACTGCATGGGATGCTGAAATCGGCTGAGCAGGATATCGTGGTGCCCAAGACTGTGCTTGCTGTTGAGAAAAGCTCCAGCAAGAAGCGGCGGAGTAAAGCCAAGAAGAAGGTGGCGAAAAAGGCAAAAGTTGCCTTTACGCCTAAGCCTAAGCCCGATAAGGGTGACTGTCATTACTGCGGAGTGTCTGGACACTGGAAGCGTAATTGTCACCTTTACTTAGAGGATCTGAAGGATAAGAAGATTGGTGAAGCTCCTGCCTCAGGCATCCACGTTATAGAGGCTAACATCTGTACTATATCTTCATGGGTATTAGATACCGCAAGTGCCTCACACATTTGTGGAAATGTGCAGGGACTAAGAAGAAGTAGGATGCTAGCTAAGGGAGAAGCGGATCTACGCGTCGGAAATGGAGCAAGAGTTGTTGCATTGTGTGTTGGCGTTTACGATTTGCATCTTCCTTCCGGACTTGTTTTAGAACTTAGTAATTGTTACTATGTTCCTGCGATTAGCAGAAACATTAATTCTATTTCATGTTTGATTTGGATGGTTTTCGATTTGTGATTGAGAACTCGAGTTTGATGATTTATCGAGACGATATTTACTATGGTAATGGTTATCTAGTTAATGGTTTATACGTCTTGAATGATCAGCCTTCGAACTCGACATCATCCATCTATAGCGTGAGTACTAAACGGTTTAAGCCGAACGACTTAAACCCGACCTTCCTCTGGCATTGTCGTCTAGGCCATATAAACGAGAAACGCATACAGAAGCTTCATTCTGAAGGTCTTCTAGATTCATTTGACTTTGAGTCTCTTGAATCATGCGAGTCTTGTTTGATGGGCAAGATGACAAAGCATCCTTTCAAGGGGAAAGGACAGAGAGCGACAGAGTTATTGGATCTGATACATAGTGATATATGCGGACCAATGAACTGTCCAGCTAGAGGAGGCTATCTGTATTTCGTTACGTTCACTGATGATTTCAGTCGATACGGTTATGTCTATTTGATGAGACATAAGTCTGAAACACTTGAAATGTTCAAGACTTTCAGGATCGAAGTGCAGAACCAGCTTGGCAAGACGATCAAGACACTTCGATCAGATCGTGGTGGCGAGTATATGAGCCAAGAGTTCACTGACTATCTGGTTGATTGTGGTATTGTATCACAATTAACTCCTCCCGGAACGCCACAGTGGAACGACGTGTCTGAACGGAGGAACCGAACACTGTTAGAAATGGTTCGGTCTATGATGAGTCAGACAGATCTTCCAAAGTCTGCTTTAGAGACCGCTGCATACCTACTGAACAGGAGTCCAATGAAGTCGGCTGAAACGACGCCATATGAGATATGGACGGGGAAGCGTCCCGCGTTGTCGTTTGTCAGAATTTGGGGTTGCGACGTTTATGTGAAGCGTCAGATGACTGATAAGTTATTCTCCAAATCTGATAAGTGTTTATTTGTAGGCTACCCTAAGGAAACTAAGGGTTACTACTTCTATATTCCGGCAGAGAACAAAGTGTTCATTGCCAGGAGTGCGACTTTTATGGAGCGAGAGTTCGTCTCCAAAAGAGTCAGTGGGAGTAGGATCGAACTTGAGGAAGTTCGAGAGCAGCAAGTAGACGTTGAGCCGAGTGAACAAGTTGAAGAAGTTCAACCTGTTTCACTGCCAGTTGAGACTCAACCTTCGACGAGTGAACCTCGGAGATCAGGCTGGATTCGCCAAGAGCCAGCGCGATATGGATTTCTCGTGACTGGGAATGAGGAACTTGATGACATGTATTTTGGTGACATTTTGGTATAGGATGTCTAGTGCATTTTACTCGGTTTTGCATATTTATAGGCATTCTAGAGCACATTTGGTCTCGATATTGCTTGGTTGCTTTCTTTGGTATCAAAACAGGTATTCATGCATAAAAAAGAGATCCCCGTTTAGAGTTCGATATTCGTAGATTCTCCATCCTTAGAAACAATCCCTGCGCGTTAAGGTTATCCCGAAGCTACGATGGTTTATCTATCTGATTTTACTTAGTTTATTTATTACTTTATTTTCGGTATTCATCTATTCCATCTGCTATTTCCTGATCTGGTTCTTAGTCGAGTTTTGTTCTTA